TTGCTGTAGTCGAACGGTGAGACGGACGTGTAGTTCAGTTTTGGGCACGCGTACGGTGCTGCAGGGATTGCAGAGATTTTTAGGTGTACCTCTTCGGGCTCTTGGATACCTTTTTCTTGTTTTATGTGTGCGTGTTCTGTAGATCCTCAGATGGCTCTAGCACTTTCGTGACCACGGGCTGAGAGTCTTTTGCTAGATATTGGCATTTAGCAACTGACATACGGTTTAATGTGAAGACGACAACAACAACATAGATAGGAACAAAAAGTTGCGCAAAAAGTTTTGAAACTTTTCTCGAGGAGCGAAAAGTTGCAATCTGGCCAAAAAGATTTTTTTTTTCTTAATATGACACAAAGATGCCATCTCTATCATAGAAAAGAGTCAGAGACAGATTAACAATGGAATCATAGCGTCAGAGAAAACTACCTGTGTGTCTACGATTTCCCAGACAGCATATAGGGACATCTCCCCTGTGGGTAGCAGGCTCAACAAATCAGTTTGGTAGCTGTCTTGTGTGTCTCATATATGTTATGTTGGGAAGGTGCAGACGAAAGGTGTTGGGTACTGTTGGGTAGTCGGGCGTTTTGTGTGTCGCACCCTGTTAGTTGTAGGACATGCAATCTCCATCTGTTTACAAACATATTATTCTCAGTTTAGTATGCATATGTGCGGAGTATGTGCGGCTGATGTGCCATCTCTATCATAGAAAAGAGTCAGAGACAGATTACTAATTGAATCATAGGGTCAGAGAAAACTACCTGTATGTCTACGATTTCCTAGACAGCATATAGGGACAACTCTCGGGTGACAGGCTCAAATGTTTTTGCAACATTTCCCGAGGCGGGAAGGCCCGAGAAATTTTGCACGGCGGGAATTATACCGGTTCGGGTTTGTTGTTGTATTATGTCCGCCGTGCACTGGATCAACCACAGGAGCAAAGCAGCGTGGGCGTGCATTAGGCGATACGCCACGGAGCTCTTCGACCGACCGGGAGCACCGTTTCGCCTCAAAGCCCGCCTGCTCCAGGCGGAGGC